CATCACCTGCCAAAAATCCATCAACTGTTGAAAATCCATCACCTGCCAAAAATCCATCAACTGTTGAAAATCCATCAGCTGCCAAAAATCCATCAACTGTTGAAAATTCATCACCTGCCAAAAATCCATCAACTGTTGAAAATCCATCACCTGCCAAAAATCCATCAACTGTTGAAAATCCATCACCTGCCAAAAATCCATCAACTGCACGATCAGGATCTCAACGTCGGCAAAATTCACCTGGTGCTATTAACGTTAACGACCAAGGTACATGCACTGTGTACGATCGTTCGTTTACTACATATACCATAATTACTACATCAGAAACTTTAGTAATCTCGTCAACACAAACGCCGTTAGTACAAACACCTCAGATAACACCTAATTTTCCAACATCAACATCAGATTTATCAATATCTTTGTCAACATCATCTTTGTCAACATCATCTTTGCCAACATCATCTTTGACAACATCATCTTTGCCAACATCATCTTTGCTAACAACAAATTTATCACCAACTTTAACATCATTACCAAGTAAAACAAGGTAATTCCTTACTTATATTAGTTAACACATTTTCATAAAAAGATGTATAATATTAGCTTATATTAATTTTTACTAATATTTAAATCTCAAGTAGCGAAGGATCACCAAGTGGAACAAGGTAACTTCTTATTTATGTTAGTTGGTTCATTTTTATAGAAGATGTATGATAGTAACTTATATTACTTTTTATTAATATTTAAATATCAAGCAGTGGAAGTACTGTAACTACACCACCTATTTCGTCGGCATCAAGTTGCTTTTACAATGAATTAACAGGATTTAATTTCGTAATATGGTTAATTAATTTTGTTTTTATTATTAATCAAATTATTTAAATAATATAAAATACACATATTTAAGGTTGAAATTACCGTAATTTTTGCGTAATTTTATATAAGTTTCGTAATTAGGTTACAATTTTTAATGCACATAATACATAGTCCTGATATCAAAAATTTTCGGTGATTGAGGAGTTACAATCTGAAATTCAGTCATAAAAATACGATTTAAATTTTACATTGTATAAATTAAATCTAATAGAACTATTTACCTTAAATGCAGAATATAACTTAATTAACGATTCGCGATAGTACGAGAATATTTTATTAATAAAAAGTGGGGTGATTTTTATAGATGTTGAAATCAGCATTTCTGATATATATACCTTTTTTCTATCAAGTAAAGGTCTCTAATAAAAGTTGTAGAAAAGTTATTCTGATTCTAATTGTGGTTAAATCATCAAAATCGGCTAGGTGGATCGTGAGATATAGTCATCTTTGTCTTCGACTATATAATTTTCTTTGCAGATTTGCAAAGAAATTTTATATAGTCGCGAAGATAAAGATAACTAAATCTCGTGATCCACCAAGCTGATTTTGATGATTTAATCACCATTAGAATCAGAAAACGTCTTTACAACTTTATTAGAACTTCAAGAGACCTTTACTTGATAGAAAAAAGTTATATATTTCAGGAATGCTGATTTCAACATCTATAATTATACTCATAAAAATCACCCCACTTTTTATTAATAAAATATTATAAATATTCTCCTTCTATCACGAATCGTCAATTTAAAAAAATATTATGTTTACTACAGAATTATATGAGTGCTGCCAAGGGAAAGAGGTGTTCAGACTTTAAATTATATTTTGTATACAGTTAGTTGTCTGAAAATCTATTATGGTAATAAATTTTTCATAAATCTTTTTTTATTGACAACACTAGAGTTTGGAGCCAGTTTTATTTTTCTTATATTAAAACTGATTAAAACTGGTTTTAACATATAAAAAATAAAACTGGTTTCAAACTCTAGGCAGCACTTATATGTAAATAAAATAATTTATATTTGATAAAAGGCTGCAACTTTTCAGTATTTGAAATTTTAGTAGTTATTTTTTTTTTATCAATAATAAAGAATTTATATTGATATAATAATGAAATTTAATTAATTCAGAAATTGGAATTAATTTAAAATGATGAAATAAAATAATGCTGTAAACTTTTGTAAAGTTTATATTTTAATATATAGTATAATAAAACAAAGAAAATTATACTAAATTTATTACAACAACTCTTCCTGATAATCCCTTGGACCTACTTTTCAAAAACAAAAATTTTAACAAAAAAACAGTAAAATTACGCTAGAGAAGAAAGACATAAGACTGACGAGAACTATAAACTGGTGCCTAATATTTAGAGATAGTTCTTATATGCTATCTACTAATAGGTTTAGAGCTTAACACTTACCATTGAGATGGCACTTGTTATTTCAAGTAGTTCTTATAGACTACTTGCTAACAAATTCAGAGTTTATCACTTATTGAAAAGAATATCAGCAATGTGCTCAGATCTACTTGTCTTATTATTTTTGAAGAAATATATACTTTCTTTTAAAAAAAGAACAAGATTTATACTTTTTACTATTACCCACTTGTACTTACAACAAAATTTTTGGAAAAAGTAAGAAAAACAGCTTACTCCTATCAAAAGATCAGTATTGTTTACTCCTTTCAAATTCAGTTGACCTAGTAGATTGCAATCACATGTTTTGTTTAGTCACAAACATGTCACTACTCTATGTAACAAGGTCTATTGACTAGTCTTGGGTTAAAGATTTAGTTGTATAGTTAGAAAGAAACTAATATGTTAAGGCAAAGTCTTACAGTAAAAATATACAAATATTGTATTTGTTATATAATTTTTTTAGCTTTATACAAACAAAAATATGCATTAATTCTGTTTTCTTTTTTTCATATTTATTTTTTTAAAATGTGAGCTTTTTTCTTTTTTTTTCTTTCTGTTTTTTCTTTTTCTTTATAATGTTTGTTCTATACATTTAGTATAGAACCTTTTTCTCTTTTGATCTTTGTAGAGAAATGAATTCAAGGTGTTTAAGCTTGAGATGGGCTGACAAGGTTTCCCAATTTGTCTTGATATTAGTGCGATGAATCATAGCTAGACATGTATTACACAGCCAGATGATATTGAACTTGCAATCTTAGATATATAGTCAAGTATTTAGAAAGATTATTTGATCTAATTATTGTAATAAATCTGTAATAAAGTTTTGGCAAGGCCGTCAAAGTTTAAAAAAAAACTAGCAAAACTATTTTGTTATACAAAATTAAAACAATCTAAAAATAGTTTATTTAATATTAATAAATCTATTTAAACAAAATTATTAGATTTGTAAATTACTATTATTAGTACTTGGCAAAATCAAACAAAAATTTAATACTCAAATACTTGTAATTAAGTCAGATATCAAATAATTGCAGATTAACCAATAGTATATATTTAGCTTTGTTAATCTATAATCATTTGACATCTGATTTAAACATAAGTATTAACAAGTATTTGAATATTAAATTTTTGTTTAATTGTACCAAGCACTAACTATTATACTAGTATTTGTATTAGTAAATTTATTTTTAGATTGTAGTATCAAAAGGTTTTAATCATTGTATTGCAAAAATTTATAAGTAATCAGACTTTTATTATTAAATAAAAAAAATTGGGCTTTAAATTTTATATTTAATCAGTTAAACAAATTTATTTTAAAAAAATTTTCAAATTTCTTAGTTTCTACTTTTAATAGCCCAGATATATTTTTTTTTAATGGTTTTTAAATTTAAATAATATTTTGAATCTTGGTATTTATTTAAGCAAAAATTATCAAAAATAGTATACTATTTTAAGAAAAATTTTTTATTGCAGTTTTGTGCAAATTTGCAAAAAAATTAAATAGTAAATCAAATAAAAATCTGTACAAAACTTTAAATTTAATACTATAAATACAGTAATTAAATACAATTTTGTGCAAAACTTCAAATTCTAAAAAATTTTGCAAAATTCTGCAAAAATACAGATTTTTGCAAATTTGCACTTACTTAATTTTTCTGGTATATTCTTAAATTCTTATATATAATAATAGATATTTTGTAAGTATGATTTTGAAATAAATAATTTATTTTTTTATCTTTTATTAGTTTTGTTACTTTTTGCTATTTGTTTATTTTGTTATATTTTATTAGTTTTATATTTTACTAATTAAGATTTTAATTAATAAAAGACAAACTATATATGAGAAAGAATTAAGTAATGATAATCAGACTCAATATACAAAGAAGACTCTAGATTCTTGTACAGCTATAAGAGCCAGACATATGGTGAGCAATTTTGCAGAAGATTTTACCTTCTTCTTAGCTATAAAGTCATTACACCCCTCTGAGAAGACATGCTTTAACAAATTTTTTCACAAATATAATTTACTACTTCTTCTATCTTCACAAACTTTTAAATTATTTCTTTATTACTTGCTTAAACATTTTTTCTTTTAATCTTATAAAATATCAATTAATATTATTATACTTGAAACACATATATGTCTTAATAAAAATGAATAAACTCTTCCAGGCTACTTAATTCTCTCTTCAAACTAATATTCAATCTATTCTTCTTCTATTTTGTCATTCACAATAGATTATTAATTTATTTATTTAAATAGTTTATATAAAATTACAATATACCTTTTTGTTCTTGTTTACAACTTTAACTTTATTTTAAACTTTGTTAAAATTTCAATATATATAATAACCAAACTAATCTATTACAAATCAACAAACAAATAATTCTCTTTTTCCTATACTCATATCCAATATCAATCTTTTTTATTATTATTTCCAATTCTATATTCTAATTACTCTTTACAATATCTTCACTACTAATAATTTCACCAAAACTTTCTACTCAATACAATATTCTTATTCTCTCTAACCTTTGTAAATATTTTGTCTTCTGATTAAGAAAATATTCTAAAATATAACTAATTTGTTTATTTTTACTATTATGTTCTGGCTCCTGATTGTGTATATGATTGTTTATTTCTTTTAATCTTCTTTTTATAACCTTTTTTTCATTTTGTAAACTATATTATTTATAACTAATTATTTTAAAAACATAATTTTATTACTAACTTATATATATTAATACAGATATATACTATTGCATTCTCATAAACCTACTCCAAAAAACTCATACAGATAAATATCTCTAGCTTTTTTTTCTAAAATTTTACTTTTTATATTCACAACTTCACTTTGTGACAAAAGCACTTCTTCTTCATAGGTTAAACCTATAATTGTATCTTGAAGCAAATTGTCTACATCATTTAGTAACAAACTTTGCTTAAAACTCCTCTTCAAATACTGCCTAAAATAACTTCATTGATTTATTTTCTACTTCAACCCAAATAAAATCTAAAAATTTCAAATTTAACGCAAATACATATTGTACAACACAAAATTCTCTAATAAGCCAACACATAGTCAAATCAAGTATCCTGATTTGTAAATTATGTCTAAATCAAATCTTCAAAAAATATACAAAATCGATTTTTGTAATCCTATATGTTGAAGTATATTGTTATAGCATATAGCACTACAGGGCTATATATTCAAATCTCACTAGTAGCATGTTAGATCTGGTGCACTGTGGTAGCATTACCAACTATAGTGTAAATATTTATATTTTGCTATTTTTAAAAAAAAATTTTTTAGTTCTTTTAATTAGGCCATGCAAACTTAATAATTCAGTTTTCATAACATAAAAGTTTTAAAAGTGACCTAGCAATCTAGCTTTTAATTTTATTTTCAAAAAATTTTATATATAAAAAACATATAAAATTTTTTATAGATTATTTTTAAAAAACTCATCCAGATAATAAATATACTTAAAATTTTTGAAAAAAATTTGTAAGTTTTGATTTAGCCAGGTTATAAAAACTAAATCATTAAGTTTGTTTAGCTTTACTATTATAATTCTTTCTTTTATTTTTCTTATATTGTAGCAAATATTAATACTGCAGATCTATATACTATAATATTTACAATACTATTATTTTATTCTATTTTTTTATTTTATTTTTACAACTTTTAATTTTTTAATTTTTATTATATATTTTCTTCATATATTTTTCTATTTTTTTTCTTTTTCTTGCTTTTCTAATACTGTACTATAATTATATAAAGTAAATATAAAACAATCTATTAAATAAAGTTGGTTGGGAGTACATTAAAGATCTGAGTATATGATATTAAAAATCTGGGTAACCAAATTTAGATGGTCTCCACAATATCTGCTATTTCTCAAGAATCACTTATTTCTACCTTTATAGATCTTGATACTTTTGCTACTGACTTCTCTAACACTATCTCCAAATCTAATATTTCTAATTTTAACAACACTACTTCTAATCCAGACTAACTACTTTCAACAAAACCAACTTATTTTAAACATGATATCTCTAAAGATTTTGACTAGTTTGCTACTTACCCTATTACTAATAATATAGAGAATAACACCTTTTTAAATACATTGGGACATCAATTTCTCAACTTCATTAAACCCAACCTCATTGAATTTGTACTAGGTAAAATTGTCAAATTTTAATAACTCTAATAGTAAAGAAAACAACAAAGAATCTAGACATACCTTCAACTACTTAATAGCTTCTTTTGCTAGCAAATATTTCTAATTTCTTCTTAAGCTAATTCTAAATACAAACTCCTTATTAAACAAAAATACTTTTATTCCTTTTAGTATTATTCTCAATATTTTTAAATTACTCTTTCTTAAATTTACTACTGTGCTCTTTACTTAACTCAACTACAAGAAAATTCATATATCTCTTAGCTTCATTCCTCTATATAGTATCCATAATCACAATCAAGTTACTCTCAATCTTACTTGTATCTATTTCTTTTTCCAAAATAAATATCAAACAATTCACACACAAAAATTTATCAAAGATCTTGATATCAAATCTATTTATTTTAAAATTCGCTACTTATTTAGTGAAGATATATCAAACAAATCTTTATTTCAATCAATCATGATACTCAGCTTAATATCAATATTTATTTAATATCTCTAAACAACAATTTTCTAATGACTTCAAATTCTATCTTTAAAACCTTTCACTAAAGACCTTGATGAATAGTTCTCTTTTTTTATCTCAATTCACTTCTGACAATTTACCCAACAATCTAAAAAAACTGAAAAAAGAATCTATAATTATATTTGATATGAAATTGGCACAATATTTGCCATGGAATATAAAAAACTTCTCCCTTCTATCTATGAAATTCCTACTATTACTATGCTTAGTAAATACAGAAATGCTATAACTAAAGCAACTCTATATCATTTTCACACATGCAATGCTTATAAAAAAAATCTATATACTATCCTAGCTACCAATACTGAGCATCTCGAATTCTCCTATTAGCATACTTATTAAAATATTTACTAACACTTTTACAAATATTTACTTTTCCTTTTTCTGCTTCTACCTCAACTTCTACTTCATCTGACCAACCTCTTTTTATCACCCACCCTATACTTAACTTTACAATCTTTAACAATAATGAAATACACCTTGCTACTTTTTCCAAACCCTTTTCTACCCAAACCTTTTCTGATTTAGCTAATAAGGCTAAAGAATTTTATATTAAACAAAATAATATTAAACCCAATATTAACCACAATACCTTTTATATTTACTCCTACTTTAATGAATACTTTAAAGCAACTACTAAAAATGATAATATCTACAACCTTTTTTATAATAAAGCAATCTACAAACTTATTAAACAAACTACAGACCCTATATATATTAGCAGAGTTATTTTTTACTTTTAAATATTCAAAAGCCTAAAAAACTTTTTCTTAAATTTATACTAAATACAATAAAACCTATTTGCTACAAGCTAAACAACTTATTATCAACTACTATAAAATCACAAAATCAACTCTTTCTAACAACTTATTTCATGTCCCACTACCTAAATTCAATAAATTTAATAAATCTAAACCCAACCTTAATAGTCTTTTCTCTAAAATCTTCTGCAAAAAAACATAGAAACAGCTGCCACCTCTAAAATAATAATGTCCTCCACACTTTGTGGACTAATTTTAAAAAAGAATAATATAAGTAGGTAGTAGAAAAGCTTATTTATATAGAAAAGCCAAGTAATAACAGTTAGACTCAATGTATAGAACAAACTTTGGCCTCTTACATAGCCATAAAAACTGGGTATATGGCGAGTGACTTTGTAGAAGACTTTTCTCTTATCTTCTCAAGCATCAATTCATCTCATCCTATTGAGAAAACAAGTTTTAACAAATTTCTTTGTAAATACAACCTTCCCTCTCTACTATTACCACAAACTCTCAAATTATTTCTCTAATACCTTTTAAAAAATTCATTTTTGCAACTATATAAATCCTCTGTTAATATTATTATACTTGAAACCCACATATATCTCAATACTACTAACACTATTCTACCTGGACATATTCTACTTCTCAACAATATTCTATCTACTACCAATTTTTTATCTAATCCTCATATCACTCTTCTAGTCACCTTAATTTCATCATAGCAACTTACAATATCATAGACTTTAATATAGCCTCTAAAAAAC